CGAGGCGAGGCGAGGCGAGGCGAGGCGAGGCGAGGCGAGGCGAGGCGGAGAAAAGAAAATCTGGCAAGTCTAAACCTTTTGTTTCCTCTAATTTGAGCTGGGTGAAAGAAATGATTCTCTCTCTCTCTCTCTCTCTCTCTCTCTCTCTCTCTCTCTCTCACACACACACACACACACACACACACACTCTTCATGCTGCAAAAATACCTTAGTTGTAATCCTCAGAAACACTATCCACCTTGAGACAGGCTTTCCTATCGACTTGGAGCTTACAGAGTAGTCTTGATTGGCTGATGGAGAGCCCAGGGGTACCACTACTTCTGCTTCCTTAGTGCTTGAATTACAAACTCACTGCTACACTGGCTTCTTCATGTGGGGTCAGGAGGTCTAGCTTTGCAGCCATTTGCTTGAGAGACACATCTGTGACTGACCCAGCCATCCCTCAGAAGTGATATTGTAATGACCCTTAGTGGAGGTATTCTTCAGTTTCCTACAGTTCTCACCATTCCTCTCCTTACCTTGCTTCATTATTCACTTTCTTTCCTGGCAAGCCTTAACCAACCGAGTCTGTAGTCTCTGCTTTAAGTATCTATCTCAACATTTGCATAAGACAGCACATTTGGAACACATGGTGGAAGTCTCTCTCTTTCCTCTCAAAAACTGCAATCATAAGAAAAGCTCAAGTCCAGTTTCTATGTGGCAGCTCTTGCAGCAGGTACTTTATGTACACTGCTCCACCTGAGCTCCATGCTGGCCAGTAGTCTGTTGCTAACTCTGGCTTATAACTAAGAGATTGGGATCAGGAGGTTAAAGCAAAACGGTCAAACCCTAAACTGTCTTCTTACATTCGATTAGTGAACTTCAAGAGTTAGACTAACGTGGTGACAAAGGGGCTTTTATGACAAGCTTTCACTATTTTTCTTACATTCAACAAGGAACTATGACATCAAATGAGATCAGCACCTCTGAGAGTCTGGGGTTAATTTCAATGCAACCATAGGCAGAATTGGAATACTACCGAACTTTCGAGTGGCTCCTGTTCCCTGTGAAGGTGATTGTGAAGTTACTCTGAGTGAAACTTTATTTACCATGGCAGAAGATTCACAAGCTTGAACTTGACAGTTTAGATGACTATTTAGCACCAAATCAATGTGAAATCGCCATATGGATGTGTTGGTCTACGGCTGCACTTGATCAGAATACCTGGTGAATTACCTATGAGAGTCAACCCAGATTCTCAAAGATTGTTGGTATAAACAGCTTGATATTTTATACAATCTCTCTTTTATTTGTGTTTGGGGTGGGGGCTTGTATATATGTGTAGAGGCCAGAGGTCCACCTCAGGTAGACTCTACCTTGATTTTTCAGACAATGTGTCTCACTAGCCTGAACCTCATCAAGTCAGTTAGGCTGGCTGGCCAGAGAGATACAAGGATCTGGATGTTTCCAATCTCCACAGTGGTGGGATTAAGATAATACCAGCACTGCCAAGCTTCTTTATATGGATTCCAGGCATTGAACTCAGGTCCTTGTTCTTATATAGCAAGCACCTTACTAACTGAGCCATCTCCCCAGTTCCACATCTTTGTGTTTCTAACAATTAATCACATTCCCACGCTGTTCTCCCCTTGCCCCATACACTTAAAGTAGGAGGCAGAATGGTCTCATTTCTGAGAAAAGAAAATTTTATTTGATTTTACTTGTTTTCCAGCCCCATCCGAGAACACTGTTCTGGTCTGAGCTATTTAAAACACATAGCCTCTGATTTCCAGCTCTAAGAGCAAACACTTTGCCAAGCACCTCCTAGCTACAAAGTGACCTTGACACATGTCATTCAGCAGGGTTTCAAATCAAAGTCATCCTGTTTAATATTCATAAAGACTTTTTTTCTTCCTAACGGCATATGTAGTGATTTTACAAGGTCTGGGGTTGGGAGCTTTATTTAGAGATGGGTTGTATTCTGAGAAACGTACCATCAGTGTCTCTCCGATGAACTGAAGTATTAGTTTGGAGGTAGGGAAATTTCGTTTGGCATTCTTCGAGGGAAGAGAGTGAAGTGCTCGATCCTGACAGGTTTTTCTCATTGGGGGTTTCCTGGGCTGGTCCATCTGTGATATTGAATTCGGATGCTGAATCTATAACGATAGCATTAATAGGTTTCTCGTCTGCATGCTTTTCATTCGTGAGTTGCGTATCTAGATGAAAAAAGAAAACACACATATACAAACCCACTGTGATCTAAGAAGGGACATTTGCAGGAAATTTTACATTTTATACTTTGAGAGAATAAAGTCCCATGAAAGGGAATACAACATTACTGGGCAAGGTTATTTTGAGATAGAATTGAAAAGTGCAGTCACAAACTTTTATATACACTGTAAATTTCTCACTAATTTGAAACATATTTTTCTAGTATCAGGTTTTCAGATGGTAAGTTGGGCAAACCAAAGGACCCATTTATGTAGATCACCAAGATGCTACTGTGTGGTGTCAGCATCATGGTATACTATGGATATGAGAAACCAGGTGATTCTGGAAACTTCCAATGGTCTCAATAAGATCACTATTCGTTTTGTTGGTGTTGTTTTCATTTCTACTAACCTCACTTTCCTTCTATGTAGGAGAGAAACAAGCCATGTGCAGATGAACAGTCTCCAGGCTCGGTCTTCCTTTGCTGTCAGAAAAAGCTCTGAAAACATCCCGTTCCTACTTCCATGCATGGATTACTTTGATGTAGGGACTGACATTTTATAGAGGCCTATTCATATGATAGCCTCCCTGGCTTTGGGGTTGTCTTCTGGGGAACATACCTTATTGTACATAGTCAACTGGGATAACCAGGGTTCAAGAAGCTCCTAGCAACATCCTGGCTAAGAATCCAGTTTGAAGAAGCAAAGGGAAAGTTGAAAAGCCCATGACCTCATTCCACGTAATAAAAAGTTTGTTAGTAGAGCCAAAACTAGACTGAACACTGAGATTCAGTGTACCCATCACAAGCACATCACACCTTAGCAACTGTGAGTGTGTAGAGAAGTAGTGTTCTATCTGGCTGTTTCAGAGAGAGGCTGAAGCTGGATGGCAGCTTGATATCTAACATAGCTACATCTATAAACAAAGTCCTGAGATGGTAAAAGTGGAAATACAAGAATACATTCTTAAGCACACCCCAGGCTGGTCCCAGGGATATCCTCAGGTGTTACTACTGAGAGAAGGAAAAGACATGTTTAGGAATCCCATGTCCAGGGCTTGGGATGTATCAGCAGTGCTCACTGGGGGACTTGAGTAAGGCTGACATGACTGGAGAAGCATACCCAGCTCAGTGTAGGAAATCCACTCTTTCTAAGTCCATATTTATGGTCTGTTTCAAATTGGTCTTTTCTTTTATGGGAATGTGATTCCCCGAAACCTCTATAGCATCCAATCATCTGAGAAATCTAAATGTGCTGACCTGTTCAAAAGCTCAGATATCATTCTCCCTTTCAGCCCAATCAAATCACCATCCCGTGGGGACTTTACTGAAGCTTCTCAGGTGAATCCAACATGCAGATGAGTCTGGGAGTTCTAAGGAGTTCTGCTTTTCAGAGGGGAGGAAAGAGAAAGATCAACTCATAGCCTTGTCAGTCAGGGGTTCTCAAAACCCATTATGATACGGTCTCTCTTTCTGAAGTCTTGAACTGGAAGAAGACCAAACAGTCTGCCATAAACAGTCATCATGGGCCATTTTTGTTTCTTTCCAAATTTCCAAACAGCCTTGGTTTTTGACAATGTTTAATTTTTATTCCCTTTCCCATATGCTGCTGGCTTTAAATCCCTTGGTAGTGGTTTAATCCACCCTAAAAAAGACTGGCAGAAGTAGGGGTTCAGGAAAAACATCTATTGTTGACAGCAATTAATGTAGTATTGAATGCTGAATGTGGAAATAGAATTGGCGATACACGCTGGCAAACTCTAGGCTCATCCAACTCAAGAAATACTTGCCATGTTAATAACATAATGATGTTGATGAAGGTCACAGTGAAAATAAGAGTTTCTTTCCTTACTTGGGTATAAAAGGCATTCAACCATCAGGCACTTTCCCACTAAGATGGACATTTAAATACTGTCTTCAATGCTTAGCAGTGTCAAGATTTTGAGCCAGACAATGGATATATAAGGGCATGTTCTCATCTTCTATTTAGGAGACACTTAGTTGTACTTTTTCTCCCTAAGCCAAGATAATAAAAAAAAACCTTAGTGTTTGCATTGTCAAATTTTTCTCCTGGGACACAATTGCTCAGGTTGAAAACCACTGCTTTGTACACCAAAACAAGTATATCTGTGCCTCTGTTATATATCAAGTTTTATATTCTTGCTGATATAGCAGGTCATGCTAAAACACCTGTCTGAAAGAGTCTAGGGGATAGAGATTGCTGTTGACTCCTTTTATGACATGGGGAAAATAAAAGTTAGTACCACTAGGTGAATTATTTAGAGTTAGAATGGAATTGAGCAGATGCATGAGAAGTCTCAAAGTTTAAAACTTTCACTTTAGTAAGTTGCCCAAGGACTCCTCTGTAGTCAACTGAGATCTGAGTCTAGGGACTGCAAAAGCTTTGTTCTTATCTTTGTCTTTTATAAATATTATATCTATCCCTAATGTATTCTTTGCCTCTATCTAAAGTAGCTGTCTTTTAGTGGCTGAGACCACACAGCAATATCTTCTATACCCTAAGACTTGAGATGCATTAACACCCTAAATCCAGTCTTGCAAATAACTCAGCTCGACAGACCTCCTTTCTCTGCATGGTAAAGTATGGCTGGATTCTTGCACACTTGAAGAATGGCCTGTTTGGCTATAGCTACTGTGTGTTGTCCATTCAATGTCAGCTCAGAAAAGAGCTGATGGCAAACCATGATGCCTATAGAGATTACAGCAGCTCTTTGCCTAACAGACTTCATTAACAATCAGTTCAAATTATCACGCACAGTCAGACTGCATGTAATTTAAATTGCTTTTGCACAAAGTAATTCTGTAAAAACAAAAAAAAAGTTGGATAGAGGTTACTGGAATGTAAAAACATGCAGAGAGCACAGTTTACAGCCAAGTGGTATATGATTCTCTTTTTAATTTTGCGACAACTTTTTTAAGTACAGCATTTTTTAAGTATAGCATTTTGAATGTAAGTGGTTTGCTACATTAAGCAACCATTTGGAGCACACCAGGTTTGCATAGAGAGGATTTTATGGAGAATTTAAACTGCCATTCATAAAGTTATTTTAACTCTATATCTGTGTTTATATTTTTATTTTTTTAATCCCCCAGTGGGAACTATCTGATGCTCATTAAAAAATCATCTGACATGCACAGGATTCAGAACCCAGTCTGTTCAACCCAGAATTCTGACATCTGAAGTGAGTCACATTTTTTTTTTTTGGTGTGGGGGGGTGAATGTTACTGACAGCTTCCTTCTTTTTTATAGCTGGAATGCTAACAATAATTCCCCCAGATTTCTCCATTTACAGTGTTATTTGACATTGTCTCCAAAGTATTAAAAAGCAGCATGGGCTAAAAGAAGGAACACAAGGAAAAGCGGCATCATATCTTTTGCGCGAGTTGGTATTTTTGAATTAAATAAGGAACCCGTGAAACTATATTTGGGATGTTATACATAGTTCCTGACATTAACTTGGAGAAAATAAATTTTCTACCCCTAAAATACAAACCAAAATTGGGACAAAAATTAGGAGCTTCTTTATAGTTCTTAGAAAAAAAAAAGATTAAAGTGTATCTTGAAAGTCATTGTCATAGAAAAATCCCTGTTTGGGTTAGAAGTAATTGCAAAAACCAGTGGGCATAAACTAAGCAACAGTAAGACAGACAGTTAATTAATTTTTTATTACTGCTGAGCAAATGTTATTAATTTAATTCAATTAACATTTATTGAGCACCCACATGCAATAGATGAATCAATGTGACAGCAGCTATTCATTTATTTACTTTAAGTTATTAAGGAAACATTTCAATGGTTTTCATTTTTGCTCAGTAAATGTGACTCGATAATTTTTGTGTCCGAATATTCTCTAAGTCCATAACACAAGAAATCTGGGTAACGGCTCTTCCTACCTGGTTCCTTAGTGTAGTCTTATTGGTATTTTTTTCTTTTGTCATTCTTGTTTCCTTCTCCCCTCATCTTTTCTCTCTACCTCTTCTTTTTCATGTTTATTTCTTTGACTTACCCTCTCTTTCTCCTTTAATTCATGTGTTTTACTTTCAGATCCACTCATGTATTATTCCTTAAGACCTGACACTTCCTCCTTCCCTCCCCCCTCCTTCCCTCCCTTCTTCCCTCCCTCCTTCCTTCCCTCCCTCCCTTCTTTACTTTTTTCGTACCTCCTTTCCTTCGTCCCTCCCTGCTCTTTCCCTACCTCCCTGCCTCTCTCTCTTTTCTCCTATCTCCTTCACTTCCTTTCTTTCCCTGATCTACGGTAGTATTTGTCCACACTCATAACTTAGGTGTTGGTTCTATGGAGCTTGCCTCTAAATCTATGCTGTGAACCTGTTCCTGGCCAGGCTGCATTTGTTAAGTGTAAATTCCATTTCAGTTGTTATTCATCACTGGAGAATTCAGAGAAAAATGACAGTGTATAGGTTCTTTACAGGCCTGTGGTCACTGCAAATCACACTCTCATGAGTGTAAGGAACTTTTGGGTCCTTTACTTAGGTTACCAGCCACATCTTTTCCATTTAACAGCCCATTTTACTAAGCCCTTCATCTCACTGAAGTGGGTAACTCTACCGATCTCTGGAGAATCCGTGGCTGGATTTGTTTTCCTTGTATGATCATAGTTCCATTTATTTATACTTGAAACTAGTCTTTGTCTGGTCTTCTCCTTCCACTGGTGATTTAAAAGTTCCCATTGATTCCTTTTTCAAGATACCACTCAAGTTCATGTCTGCCTTTTCATTCCCATAACTGCTCTTACACCTTCCCATCAGAACCTTTCTCTTTAAATGGCTGTTTATCTTGGTTGTGGGCATCTAGCACAGGGCCTTGCACACCCTAAGCAAGTGTTCTGCCATTGAGCTGCATTTAAAGTCCTTGATTTTCTTTGCAGGGGGACTCACTATGTAGTTCAGACAGCTGTTGAACTGGCCACCCTTCTGGCTCTGCATGTTAGGTGCTGAGATTTCGGGTGTGGAACACCATGCCTCAAT